AACAAGGATGCCACCGGCAATGCCTCGCCTCCCAACTTTACCTCCTTTGGTTCGTCCAACACCGACATCATCATTGAGGAGAGACGCGAGCGTATACCCAAGCATGCTTCAGGATATCAACCATACCAGGCTGATCCTTGAACTTAGCCAGCGCATAACCAGTGACACAGAGATCCTTCGTCTTCAATATCGTAGAATCAATCCTCTTCGTGGGATCAACATCGATGATCGTCTTGTCGTCAGCACTCCTGAAAACGACCTTCTCACCAGAAGTATCATTCTCGGGTGCGTCAAGGATAAGAACGTCCCTGTCAACAATCTCGACCTGTCTAGCGACATGCGCAGCAGTAAGAGGGTTATCACCGGTAATCATAACCACACGATGCGAGCTCTCGTTCAGCATGCGGACAGCCTTGAGGGCATCTGGCTTCAGGGGACACTGGAGCACAAGGAAGCCGGCAAACTTCAAGTCTTTCTCGACTTCCTCACGCTTGAGATCGTTCACGCGCGACTGGCCAAGTTCATCGGCGGGGGACAAGAACTTATACGCAAGAGCAAGAACACGGGCTCCGTTTCTGGTGAAATGCTTGAATGTCTCTTCGTAGTAAGCGGGAACATCGACGAGCATATGACGGATTGTTTCGGGGGCGCCCTTAACGCCGACAAATGTTCCCCTGTGGCGCTTAGTTTGTCCGCCGGCACGTTCAATCATGGTGACAGTCGCAACAGAAGATTGACGCTTCAGGGCAGATGAGAACTGGAAGCGACGCTTGATCTGGACAGAGTCGATAGTGACGTTGTTCGAAGTGGTGGATGGAGGAGGCTTAGAGCCCTTGGGGACCTTTGCGCGAAGAACGTTGCCGTCGCCGAGATCCCAGCCAAGGGAAGACAATGTTGCCTTCTCCATAGGATCACCAACGATCTCACCATCATCAAGCTTGACAAGAGCGTGGGCGGTGGCTAGTACCAGAGTAGTCTCCCGCGCAACCTTATCAACGGGCACAACCTCTGAGTGCGCACCGTCAATCTCAGTCTTAGCTCCAGGCAAACCCAAAGCAAGGCCCGCGATACCATCGACGACAAGATTCTCACCAGTGAGAGTACCCGTCTTATCGAAACACGCGATATCGACACGACCAGCGAATGGGATGCGGAATGGCTCAGTACAGAAGATGGCATACTTGCTCAATGCAGCAAGGGAAGTGTTCACAGCCAAACTCAATTCCATGGGCAGTTCAGGGGGGACGACGCTAGTGATGATCAAGACGCAGTCGAGGAGAAGCTTCGATCTCTTGCGGTCATTCGCAACACCTTCCTGCCAGACGTACCAACTTGCGGCAAGGGCGAAGATGAGCAAGAAGAGAATGAAGAGCAGTGCCTCAACGTTGTTGGCGCTAACGTGTTCGGTGGAGTAGATCATAGTACGGACGAGACTGCCCTGGCTGGTTTCGAAGCCAGTCTTGACGACGATGCCGACGGCGCCATCATCAGGGGGTCGAGAAACACCGGATGCGAGTTGAGGTGCCTTGAATGTTTCCGTGTCGTTATCAGATCCCGTTGAGTGTGTGATTTGCAGAACCTTGGTGCCGCCCATGAGGAACGCGTTCTTGTCGAGACCCTCCATATCAATGCGCTCATTGCCAGGACGGAGCTGAATCGAGTCCTTGAGGAGAGGCGTACTCTCACCAGACAACATAGCTTCATTGACGATGGCGTTTCCCTCGACCATCAAGATATCGCAAGCAACACCAGAATCCTCCTTCGTGCGCTGGATTGAGACGAGGTCTCCGGGGAGAAGCTTGTCGCTGGTGATCTCAACCCATTTGTTCTCGCGATGGACCCAAACATCATATGGCTTTATGCTCATGCTCCGGAACTCGTTCAAGGTGCGTTGACGCTGCCAGACGACGGTACTTTCGAAGACCACGAGCATGACAAGGGTGAATAGAGAGTAGTACCAGTATTCATCCAGCAACCAGAGGCCGACACAAAAGACCTGGAAGACGAAGAAAGGCGCAACTGCATGTTCCTGGAACAGCTCCGTGAAGGTCGGGACTGGGATGTCAAAGACGTTGTCGCCATAATGACGCTGGGTATCCTCGATCTGCTTTGCGCTGGTGAGACCGCGCGACGACTGGAACTCGCGCAAGAAAGGTTTCGGCTCGGCATCGATGGCGTAATCAAGAGGCGCGAAACACTTGCGGTCGGGGTAGTAGAGAAATTGTCTTTTTTGAAAGATGAAGGAGATGGTGTGCTCGCCATCCTTGCGCTCTTTGACCAGCTTGCAGATTTCGGCACTGCCAGCGTTCTCGATGGGGATGACTTTAATGAGACTCGCGGAGGTGACGTCCTTGGCTCTGGAGCAGGTGAACAGGGCGTTGATGTTCACGTTCCATTTAGTCATTAACCAAAGGAGCGCCTGGATCGAGACGATCGTGCCAACCCAGACAAAGGTCCATTCTTGGCCACCAATGTAGGTATCGTAACGTTCGGGAGAGAGATAGACGGATAAGAAGACAGGCCAGGCTATCGTGAAGGGCCAGACATATGTGCGCAACTGCGTGGGCAGTGGATTGTGCAGAGTCGCAGACTGTATCTGCGAATTATCCACAAGAGGGGGCCTATCGCCGGCGCAAGAATGCAATCGTTAGCATCGGCATATTGATCGTAGAGGACACGACGCCACAAACAAAAGCTCGAGGGAGCAGAGATAAGGGCACAACACAGATCAAACAAGCAACTCACATCTTGTGGGATCAAGAAGACAACGTCCTTGAAACCGGACAGCTCGACTTCAGCAATTCCCCGTATACAGAGCAGGTGGATGAGCAGTCGACGTTCGATGTATTCTGTCTCCCTCACCTGTGGTTATCGCTGCGATGCGCACGACGGCGGCGGCGGCGGGGGACCTGGACGCGGCGGGACAGTCTCGAAGGGGAAACAAGCTCGAAACAGTTAGTCTCGGCCAAGCTAGCTCTTTGCGTGTTGGGGGCCATTGAGGGTGATCATCACGGCAGCTGAGCGACGATGAAGATGAACAGCCAGGAGCTCGCCAAAGACAGTGAGATTTTTGGATATTCAATGGACAAGCGATAGAGACATAGGTGCTGTCAGGCTACTGCCTACAATCATCTACGCATGTCAATAATTTGCTGATGGAAATCTTCAAAAATACTCAAAGATATTCACTTTTGTAGATATCACTACCATAAAGCGTTCTACTCCAAGCAATTGGTCGGCTGGCCTAATGGTAAGGCTTCCGTTTCCGGTTCATTCGAATTCAAACATACGGAGGATTGCAGGTTCGAGTCCTGCGTCGATCGATCATTCTTTTTGCTGGCTCCTAACCTTTCTCTTCCTTCTGTTTTTGTTTTTTTTGCTTCTCGTCAACTGCGAACAACCTGTGCCGCGCCTTGCTGCGTTGATACGGCAGTCCTGACGAATCTCCGCTCTCCTTGTCTTGTCTCAGCGGTTGGCGGAGCGGAGGGATGACCAGGATACCTTGCATGTGAATGTGAATGCCTGCCTGGCGTCGTCTGGCCTTGCATGTTTCCGCTTCGCTCATCATCTGTCTGCTCAGTCTTGAGTTACAGACCAGTCGTCTGCTCAATATGGAGTATCTCCAGCACTTTGATCATCGGAATATTTGCTGTCGCAATTGAATCATACATCGTCTTGATAACGCACACCACTTCTTCATTATTATCGGTCAATTTACTGGAACAATTGCCTTCTATCCTTCCATGCTTACTTCTTGCCCCCGTATCTTCAAAGATAAGGAAGACGGGCACTGATTTCGCCTCGCCTCGCCTCCCCTTCTCTTCCCTTTGCAAAAAGTTCACATCCATGAACGCGTACGCATGTCCATGGCAAATACTCCTATCTCTTTCTTTGAGAAAGAAAAATCCCGCGCACGATACATGACAACCCTTTGACGGCGCCAAGGGCCCCCCCGGTCAGGTCTCTCTGCCAATAGCTGCCAAAGCTCGCATTCCGTGAACCGGAATGCCACACGGGTAGCATCTACTCAGGGAGACAGGCGAGCACCATACCATCGACGCATCTACCGTATCTTCGCTTGCCACCGCGCAACCAGGGTCCTGTTTACGAATGCACTAGCTCGGTATCGAAGCTGAACATGAAGCCGACTGACGCTCGGACCTCAGCGCCTTGAGACGGGTGAGGCGAAGATGCAAGGAAGGCAAAAGGAAAAGCGCATTGACAGTTTACGATTGCGCGCACGGATGTCAGGATCTTGTCCTTGTGACTTGGCATACTTTTTCTTGCTCTTATCAAGGAGGTTCGGGTGTCTGGTTTTCTGACTGACTTATCTCCTTGTTTTGAAAAATAGAAAAGAGACTTGTATCAACAACAGTGAGAACACACGAAGATAACCAGATGACGACGAATAAAGCGAACTTGACGCTCGGATGAGGTCACATGTTGATGTCCGTTTCTCCCATTCTTTCATGCCGAGTATGGTGCAAGATCACCTTGAAAGAACGTTGGCCGTTGAGAAAATGCATCAAACAGCGCAAAAAGTCAATTCCAACCACTCAAACGGATGTCCGGGCGTGGCTTTTTAGTCCCCAACATCAGTTATACGACAGATAACGGAATATCAGCCCTGTCTTGCGCAAATTTCTGATATGGGTATTTATCTTCTCTCGGAAAGGTGCTGCGACGTTGGATATGCTGTCCCCTGGGTGGAACGTGCCTCGCAGGGTATTCAACAAGGCGATCAGGTGCTCGTCTGTTATAATCGAGAGGAAATCGGTGGTCAGTCGATTTTTTTTGGAAAGAATGTCTACAAGGGTGAAGGTGTCATCGATAAGCCACCCGCCATGGCTCTTTGGGCGACTGGCATCTTGACGTTCGTATCTTTCCACGAAAGTGAACCACGCCACTTCAAGATGAGGCTCCATCGCAGTCATCCTCTTCCTGAAGAGCTATCACATGCTCCTCAGAAATGCCAGCCACAACACATCCAAGGAAAAAAAAACATATATAGCCGAGACATTCTCCCAAGAGGACTCACTCGGCTGTATACCACGCGCATACCGCCGAGCCGCACCGTGCGTTACTTTAACCTGTATCCGTAGATCCACGTTGTTTTCATCCTGTCCCTTGGCTTTCAAGGCCGCAAAGAGGTTCAACCGTGGGTTAATGCCGCTTTCGTACGTCTGTTTGTTGTTTGCCGGAGAGGTCGGATGGCCGCTCGTCTTTGCATCGTTTTCTTTATCCGTATCCTTGTTTAGATATACCCGCATAGCACAGACCGATTGAGACTCACCATCTCGATCTGTCAACTCTCTCGCGACATGTCGACTCTCTATGAAATGTCAATCAGTCCGCTGGAAACGGTCTTGCCCCGTCAATTGTATGAAGTATCTATTTTTGGATTCTACAATTAAGCTTATTTTAAGATAAAAAGTGACACTTTGATGCTATTTTTGGTATCAGCGGATGAGGCCCGTTAGGACCCAAAAACTCTCTGATATAGAAAGGGAAGACTTTGAACAACAGAGGTGAGTGAGGGAGGACAATAATAGGGAGAAAAGAGAGACAGCAAATTGACTCTGTGGGTGTCGAGCAGACACGAGAGGAGTCACCACCGCAGCATTTCTAACTAAGAAACCAGAATGCAGAAACTCGCGAATGACTTGAAATGAGGCAGATCCGCGAGGGATTTAGATAACCAATTGATCAGAACACGATTGTTCAGATGCTTCCTTTGTCTGTGCTGGGATGCATCAATAATACCTGCCACTGATTGACCCCTCCTCCGGTGCCTCCGTAGATTAGCAAGGATATGTAATTGTAGAGAAGATGAATATACGGAATGCCTACTTTTGTTTCTCATTCTTGAGAAAGATGCTGTATGATGTTTCTTTCAGAGTGCATGAGACGTTTCTGCTGCCTATGTATGCATTTTCCATTCATGTTTCGCGTAGTTGTAAGTAGGTACCATTCTGAAGGAGCTTTGTTGGTTTGGGGGAGAAAGGGGACCAATTCATCCCTTTGATCAATTGTTTGCGATCAAACATGAGAGGGAGCAGAAACATCAGAACAAAGCACAAGAACAATTCAACGCAAGATTTAGTCAGAACCGTACTTCCCATCCACCTGCTTGCTTTCTTCAAAAATGTCAAAGGCATGAATAGAGTCCCAAATCTGACAAGTTATCTACTCACTCAACCTACAGACATCCGATACTTGTGTTGGCTACGTGAGACCGCGTCCGATCTCCGCCACCAAAACTCGACTCTTCTGAAGAAGCGGAAGATTTGCGCTGCTGGCATGAACAGAGCAGGTATTGTTTAAAAGCCTCCTTCAGTTCCTGCAAAGATGAGCCGTGGCGGAGTGATTCGCATGCCAACAGCGAAGAGACCAATTACAACACGTAGATCTCACTTTACTGCTGGTTTTGAATGACTTGGTACTTGCGAAAACGTTATTGACAGTCCACGCAAGCTTTGCAGTGTTTCTGAGAACAGGATCATACATTTGCTTTTTTCTCTTCCTCTCCCTCGGTGCTCCTCCGTGGAATACAGCAGGCGTGCGAAGCTCTACGTCAGGGATCCTGCAGGGTGTCTGAGGGGGTGTCTGCACATACGTGACTTTAACATATGTAGGCCTCAAGCTTTGCGGCCTTCATTCGGTTTCATATGGTAGTTCTTCTCTTCGCACAAGTAATGGCATTCTCCATTCAGGATCGAATTAACTCCTGGCTTTCAGTAAGACTGCTGCCGCGAACGCCGTGTTCTCTCATCACGAAAGTGCAGGAGCACCCTGCCGGACTCACAACAGAGAAGGTTTCGTTATCTGTGTCAGAAAACCACTTGAGAGAATCTCGAACCTCTCGACTCTCCTTTTTTATTATAGACAATCTTTCTCTATTTTGCGAAACGAGAAGCTTGCCTCTCCCGTTCGTATGATTGGCCTTGGTCCATGCCTGACAGGTGCTATGGGCTATCCTGTGCTGCAGAATGAGTAATTGACACTGGCCAGAAGAGCGATTTAGGCTACAGGTGAAGTCTGGTGATTTTTATTATCGTGTTTGTTATCGGATTCAAGGGGCAAATTTGCCAGCCGCTTGCTTATACTACCGCCTTGACTCATTCTGATCGTGCTACATGTCTGGACCATGTCTCACGGCACTGACCGCCGAGAAATCTGGCCGTTTTTCTTCTGTCACGTTCAAGGAAAGACCTGCGTTGTGGCGGGATAAGCTGGCTCGTCAATTGATGCGATAATAACGGTTCTAGGACTTTTTCTTCGCTGATTTGTCCCTTTCCTTCGCATGTGATAGCTACCGGTATCGAAATTTGTATTTTGATATAGGCTGCCCGTTTTTACCTTATCGCGAAGAACTTCCGTTACGGAGTGAAGGACAGAAGAGAAAATGGGTTATTCCAAGATGGCATATGACAGCAGAAAAGAAAGAGTCAAACGAGAGGCTGAGAAGGCGAATGCATGTTTCGGCTATTCTTGCCATTGATTCTAGAAAACTACGGGGGAAGAGACAAGCAAAATCTAGACCAGGTCTAAGCCTCTGGTAGACTCTGGGCGTTCTTGAGTGGAGAGCTTGAGGGCAAACTCTCATGGGTGAGAAGAGTCCATTTTCTTATCGCGTTGACAGCGTAAGCACCCGACCATCTGTCGCAATCGCGCTGCAGAAAAGCAATTGGCGAAAATCCCAGAGAAAGGGAAGTTTTCCTCGAGTCCTCCTTGGATGTCAGCGACAGATCCTTCCGTATGTATGCAGAACATCCCTGTCTATCAATGCATGGAAGGAAAGAAAATCCTTATCCTCTCCTTCATTCCCCTGATATCGCCATCGCCATTGCCGTCGCCTCTCAAGCCTCTGCGTTCTCCCTTCCATCGTTTGATGTTGTATGTATGGACTCGTGTCGCCCGTCCGAGCGTCTGGTGGTCAACGCCAGCTTTCTTTTGTTCTTCTATACTCCTGTGTCCGTGCGCCGTTCTTATTTTTCTGATCAATGCTCCTCCCTCTCAGCGGAAACATAAGAAAGCATGTATTACATACCACAGAAGTGCCCCCAGCTGTGATGAGTCTCCGCTGATCGTTGCGTGCTTGGGGATGTTCCTCTCCCCCTTTCGCCCTTTTGATACGGTCCAATGGCATGTGTGTACTATTCCCTGCCTGATCTACAGAAGTACCATACGTTTGGATGATACATGTTCAGGACTGGGCGAGAATTCCGACAAATTCTATCCAATTGATTGTCTCTGTAGCTCGTGCTTTGTGGCGAATGCCCAGCTGATACGGGTGTCCTGCGTGATCGCAAACCTCTGCACC